CTTTTAGTAAACATTACTCGCCAACTTTGAGGTTCCTTCCCGTTATTTGCCCGCTAAGGCCGTGATCCTGGTGGCTTATCTCCTTGAAGCCTTTGGGGTGTCACTGCGTTCTGGGGTGTCACTGCGTGCCTTGTCGGAAGTTTTCGTGAACGTGTGCCTTCGCGTGGGGAAATGGTTTTAAACTGTCAAGTTCCCCTGAGGCGTGTAAAGAAATTTGCTGTGAAAAGGGTAGGTGTGCGTTCAGGTGTTTTAGTCCTGTGCTTCATTTCTTCTAAAAATTAAGATCGAGACATGGTTTCACTGTTTTAGACCGAGAATCATGTTGAAAACCGGTGTCTGAGTGATTTGCATTACATAATCGACTTTCAGCAGTTCCAAGATGATGAGCTGAAATACTTAGTGTAATTGGTAGATAATCTACCTTCCCCACTTTGCCTTAGGGTATAGTTGTTGAATATTTTAATAACTTAGATTGGTGTTAGATCTTGGTTCTTAAAATGAATATTTGATCCTTTGATTTATAAAGAATTTAAATGGCAGCAACATGACTCTTGGTTATTCCTTGTTCCTCTCGAAGTTTCTACTTGTCACAGTCAACAGGTATCTTTAAAAATCTTGATTGTACACAGGACGCCCTAGTAGAATAATGGGTCGTTATATAGGACTCCATTTCCCAGGGACAGCACAGCAAATATGGCCTCTCACTTCTTCTAGGGGTTTGGTTATTTCCTTCAGGTACCCTTGTGGAGTCTACACTCGAGGTTAATTATAATGGGTGTGGGAATGAAATGGAGAATTTATGAAGGAAAACTGCCTGAGTAGGCTAGTCCCCCTTGAGCATTTAAAAATTATGCTGGTGGTCCTTAAATGTGCTGCACAGAAAAGTGTCAAATTAGAACCACTAACATAATGCAGGCAGTGCAGACATTGAGAATTTTGAGTATTCCTGTGCCTGTAAGGAGCATTCAGACAGCTAGCTCCCAGGTTCCTATGGATAGAAATATAGAGCAGGTCAGCAAACATCTTTGGATGTCATGTCTACTCTTTAATCTGATTTATTCATGATTTGTGTTTATGTTATGCAGTCGTTGGAGCAAAGGTGATATATGTCTAATGAATAATATATAACCAGATGTTTCAGTGACAGTTTCATTTCTATACATTAGCAAAGAAGCATAATTCCTTCCATCCAAGAGAAGTGAGTTAACATTAAAAAGCACTTTATTAAAATTATGACAGCATTTCTAGTATGACTTAAAGCACCTCATAATGTTATAGCAGCTCATTTATTAAATTTGGAGAAATTGAACAATGCATCACAGTTTGCAGTTTTTAAAAAAGAAAAAACACTGTGAGATTATATTCTGCCACATGTACAGATCTATGTTTGATTTTTAATTAGTATTTATTACACACGCTGTGGGAGACATACATTGTCATCAGACACAAGTTATTTAATTTCTTAATTTTTTTTTCATTTCTCTGAAATCTCTATTAGCGTAGTAACTTTTTGAATGTTTACATCCCCATATAATTTGGGGTACAGAGGTATAGTAACATTTACCCCATCCATTCCCTGAAGGTCCATGTATCCTGTCTATTGCCCACACCCAGTCTTCTTACCTTTTCTACCTCATATGTCAAATGCATCCTGTGGTGTCGCTTGTTGTAAGGAGTACAGTTTGGTTGATTTTACATGGATATGCTGACTGTGCTAATGCAACTCTTGGCCCTGAAATAGAAGCTGGTGTTAGTATGTCCATAGGCAGGAGGGTAGGTGGGCTATTACTCAGTTTTATGCTCTGTGGAGGAACTCGTGGAACTGACTGTAGACTTTCAAGTTTGAGATTCTTTTTACTTCTCTATTGTCATACAGCTGTTAGGCAGCTGAAGTGGACTAGTATATTTCTGAGCCTAGTGATACCTCTTGTTGGATGCTTAGCACCTACCATATATTACTAAACATTATTAGAGTACCATTGTTTGAATTGGCCTTCTCCCATTTCATTTAGAGAATGGGTTAAACAACATGTTTGCTGCTTCTGCATACCTTCATTTTGTCATAATCTTTAAAAATCAGTTTAAGTACAATAAAGAAAATTATTTTTGAAATTAACCTCAGAATAAATTGTTTAATGAAGTCATCTTATTAAGTGAAGTAATAGACCATATGAAAAATATCAGAGCATTTTAGTCATTTGTTTTCCAAAGATGTGTTGAATGTGGGCTCTCCTGCAAAAGGGATTTCTTTTTATTTATGCTATAGAGTGGAGCTGTATATTATGAAGAGGTTAAATTCTAAAGTCAATATGTAAAATGAAAATCACAGAGAGTAAAAAATTATGCTTGAAAATCCCTTAAGAAGGGAGAACAGCATACCAATAAGTTCAGCTAAGCTTTAGTGTTGGAACAGATTGCTGTTTCTTTTGTTGAACATTAGATGAAGTAGTTCACTTGCATTTAGGGGCCATGTTGAACAGCAAACAGAAAAAAAAAAAAGTCTTTAAATATAATAATCACATTCAGAATGGTATAATGCTCATATTAGGAGAGGCTTGTGGGAACTGAGATCACTGAGATACAGCAGATCAGCTCTACCATCTCCCATTTTCTCTAGGATGTGTGCTCTAGTAAAAAGAAGTGGGTGTGCATGCTTGGAATAGCCTGCACTGTTTAAATATTTCTCATTTTCTCTGTTTTTTGAAGTTGGGTAGTTTAAAGCACAGAAGTTAATGATTTTTGTGCTGCAACTTACCAGGCACAGATTTAAAAGGTTTTCAGTTATCCTTTATAAAAATAGATTTTATCTATAGGAATAACTCCAAACTGCCTTTACCCTTCAGGGAAGTAGCAAAAAGATATTGCAGAGGACAGCAGTTAGAATCACTGTTTTAATAATGTATTTGGTGTCCAGTAAAGAAAACAGAAACTTCAGTAGGAATTTCAACAGTGTGGATTTAATATAGGTAGTTGGTTAGATGGGTTTAAGAACAAAAAGAGTGCATTATAGTGGTCAACCTAAGAACTGAGAGAAGATATTCCATGGGCCTGGTTCTGAACTTTTGAGGAGGTCAATGTTCAGTTGCTGATATGGCTAGTTATGGGAATACAGAAAGAAGCTGGGGGCCCTAGCTGGTTTTGCTCAGTGGTTAGAGCGTCAGCCCGTGGATGGAAGGATCCTTGGTTCGATTCCAGGCAACGATGCGTACCTAGGTTGCAGGCTTGATCCCCAGTCCCGGTCAGGGCTTGTGTGGGAGGCAACCAATTCATGTCTCTCTCACAGTGATGTTTCTCTCTCTCCCTTTCACTTTCTGAAAAAGCAGTGGAAAAAAAATATCCTCTGTTGAGGATTTTAAAAAAAAGCAAAAAAACTGGGGGGTGGAACCAATTGCTGCTGCCAGCAATTGTGAGGAAGTCCTCTCATCCCTCTTCCTCCTCTCAAGTCTTCATTTACTTACCTCCATTGGCAAAGCCTAACAAGGAGCCCCAGGCAGAAGAGTAGTTAAATATAGTTGCAGTCTCAGCTACAGCGCCATAGATCAGATCAGAGGCTAGAATGGCAGTTTTGAAGTTGAGAATCAGTGAGAAAATGACCTGCACAAATAGCTTAGGTTAAAATACAGTAATTTAAATAGGGAATCCTGTCCTTACCTTGCCTGTTCAGAAACCATTTATTATCTTCTGTATGCCAGATCCAATGCTAAGGATTAGGGATAGAAAAATGAACAAGGTTTCTGTCCTTGGGAAATTTATAATCTGAGTGGAGATGACAAATAAATGACTGTACAGTGTGTTAAATACAGTAACAGGTGCTTTGGGAAGCCAAAGGATATAGCAACCTACATACCTCTTCTCTGCCTACCCAAACTTAATGACTACTCTTTTGTCTCTTAATCAAATCCAATTCCATTCTCTCTGACTCCTGTGTTCAGCCCAGTACCTATGAAAACTGTTTCTGAGATGCCTCAGTTTTGTCATACAATCATAATCATCATTAGTTAAGCATTTTTCTGTGCTTTGTTCATCTGGATTACAAAGACTGTCACTTTCTTTTCACTTTTAGCCTAGCCAAATACTGTGCACATAGAAGATGTTCAAGGAATATTTATTTTTGTAATGGGTAATGGGAATTAAAATATTGATCATTACCTTTGCCAGACGTTGTTTAACTCCTTCCAGGGTCATAAAAAATAGTTTGGGTAGAGTGATATTTGATTTACAGATGGGAGAATTTAAAGAGTAAATAGTTGGTTAATTTAAACTGCATAGTACCAGTAGCTGATCTACAAATAGGACTTTGGTTTTCTCATGTGCTATATCCCAGAGCCAGCAACTTTGGCAGGGATTTCATTTGATGGCTAACTAAAATCCTCTTCTGCATCTTTTATTATAGCCTCATGTTCTAAAATCTCACAGTTATTTCTGGGGGGAAAGAAAAAACAAGTCCCTCATTTTATTTCCTAAAATTATAAACATCATGCAGGTTTTTTTTTACATTGTTCTTTTTAGTTGCCCACTCTTCATCTCCTTTTGTCCTACTCCCTGTATTGACTGCTACTACCTCTATTAGCTATTGTAAAATGTGCAAACTGCAGTACTTCATTTTGATTTCTTTTAAAGTGTTTTGCTTGTTTCCCCTACCATACACACACTGTGCTGATTTAACTTAAAATCAACTGATTTTCCACTTCTGAAAAGATGTATGCTTGCATGCCAGTAATTGCATTAGACCCTCACTGTTTATACTATTTACTATATAGAGCCTAATTCAGCCTGGGACGGCAGTCTTGGAATCTAGCCAAACATTTTATAGAAGCCTTTATTATATTACAGAAGGGGTAGTGTTGAGTATAGTAGAAGGCAGGAGACAGGGTTTCTATGTCTGGTTCTTCTACTAGCAAGAATGTTTGCTTTTCTGTTTTCTGTTAAAAAAACACCACCTGGTGGATGAAGCAGTCATCATTGACATTCTAACTAAAAGAAACAAGGCACAGCACAGTATCCACAGATCAAAGCAGCGTATCTCCAGGAAAAAGGAAAGCCTCTGGATGAAGCTCTGAAGAAAGCCATTACAGGTCACCTTGAGGAAGTTGCTTTGGCTTTAAAAAACTCCAGCCCAGTTGGATGCTGACGAACTCTGTGCTGCCATGAAGGGTCTTGGAACTGATGAAGGTGCTCTGAATGAAATTTTGGCATCAAGAACTAACAGAAATTAACAGTCTATAGAGAAGTATTGAAGAGAGGTCTGGCTAACAACATCACCTCAGACACATCTGGAGGTTATCAAAGGCTTTGCTTTCTCTTGTTAAGAGTGACTGAGCTTAGGATCTTGGCATAAATGAGGACTTCGCTGATTCAGATGCCAGGGCATTATATAAAGCAGGAGAAAGGAGAAAAGGGACAAATGTGGATGTGTTTAATACCGTTCTTACCACCAGAAGCTATCCCCTTCTTTGCAGAGTGTTTCAGAAGTACACCAAATACAGTCAGCAAGAAATGAACAAAGTCCTGGAACTGGAGATGAAAGGTGATGTCAGGGATTGCTTTACAGCCCTGGCATGTGTGGCTCAGTTGGTTGAGCGTCATCCTGTGCGCTGAAAGGTCATTGGTTCGATTCCCTGTCAAGACATATGCCTTGGTTGAGGGTTTGATCCCTGGTTTGGGTGTATTTGGGAGGCAGCTGATTGAAGTTTCTCTCCCTCCCTCCCTCTCTAAAAAATCAATAAAAACATTAGAAAAAAAAATTGCATTACAACTATCGTGAAGTGTGCCACAAACCAAGCAGTGTTCTTTGCTGACAAGCTTCATCAAGCTATGAAGGGTGTTGGGAACATGTCATAAGATGTTGGCGAGGATTATGGATTCCTGTTCTGAAATTGACATGAATGATATCAAAAATTGTATGGTATCTCTCTGTCTAGTCATCCTGGGTGAAACCAAAGGAGATTATGAAAAAAATCCATGTGGCTCGAGGACAGTCAACATTCCCTTGATGATCTCAAGCTTTTTGATCAGAAGATTTTTTAAGTCATATAACTGTATTTTCATTCTATATTATAGACTTAAATACGAAAGTTTCTTCATTAGGGCTAGTCTGACTGCTTTCTGACAACTATAGCCTATGAATCACTTTTATATCACAACTCTGTATAACAGACATAAGTTTACTTAAAAAATATATTTCAAACTATAAAACCCCTTAAACAGGTGATTCTAGTAAAATTACCTGAGAAAGATGTTTATATAACAATATAAAATGATTTTACATGGAAAAAAAGAAACACCCTTGCTGACCGTACAGGTTATTTGTAAAGACAATAAGAGGTGATGTAGGTAAAAGGTTTTGTAAACATCAAAGCACATTATAAATATAAGGGGTGTGTATGAAGAGAGAGTGATTGACTTATGGCATAGATCCTGGGGATAGTTTTGTGTCTACTTCCAAGTTTTTGAGTTTCGATACTTTAAAAGAAAGTTGTTAGGGTGAAAATGGTGTTTGAAGTTATGGATGTTTTATAATCCTACTTTTCCCAAGCCTGGTTATAGTGTAGTAGTCCCTCCCCCAACAGGTTTGAGGTGATATCTCATTGTGGTTTGATTTACATTTCCGTCATGATTTGAGCATCTTCTCATGTACTTGTTGGTCATCTGTATGCCTTTTGGAAAATGTCTATTCAGATCTTCTGTCCATTTTTTGATCAGATTGTTTGTTTTTTTGCTGTTGAGTTATATAAGTTCTCTACATATTTTGGATATTAGCCCTTTATATATATTATTTGCACTTATTTTCTCCACAGAATATTAGAGCTAAGAGGGCTCTTGATGCTACTTAATATAAATTTTTACTTACAAATAAGGAAACTGGATCCTCAGATAAAGTGATTAGCCCTAGTTCACCCAAGAATTTAGAAGGAGAGCTTTTTTTATCATGTGTATATATTTGTAGAAAATATTTAAGTAACCAATATTCCTGTTATGGAGTTGTCTCCACCTAGTGGCAACAAATATTTTTTAAGGCTGAGTACAAACATGGGGAAAATCTGTTAGGGGGAACTTTATTGATCACTCCTTTTGAAGAAGAGCCAGCTTGGTTACAAGTCGTGTTGCTTTTGCAAAGGGAAAACACGAGACAGTGTACCTAATGTTTATTTTCATATTTCATAACCGTATTAAGGAATTTGTAAACTTTACAGTTATACTTGAGTTAGGGCACATGCGTGAGTTTTGGGTTTGATCTCCTCTCTGGTGTGTTCAGGAGGGAATCAATGTTTCTCTCTCTTTCCCTTTCCTTCCCTTTCTCTCAAAACAATACAAACTTTTTTTTTTTAAAGGAAAAGTGGTGAAAATACCACTTTCTATTTTGCTATCTCACTTTTTTTTTCCACCATCAACCACTAGACAGCAACAAGTTTAGGAGCTTGTGGTTTTACTCTCCTTTTCCCCCCTCATTTATTGTATATTACTTTCTAATAATTTTTCAGCTCTGCCCCTCCTAATTCTTACTTATTATTAACAGCCCTATTGTAGGCATTTTTTAATTTGGATTATTGCACAGTTCTTTAACTAGTATTTTTGCTTCCCTAAGTCCATCTTCCACTGCTGCCAGAAAATTTGATTTTTGTCATTCCACTTTGGATTTTTCCCAACACCTTTTCATGGCGTAGTAAGCCTCTCTAATCTGGTCCACAATTTATTTGCCCTAGCCAGTTTGACTCAGTGATTAGAGCGTCCCCTCAGATGGAAGGGCCTGGGGTTCAATTCCAGCCAAAGGCACGTACCTCAGTTGCAGGCTTGATCTCTGGCCCTGGTCGGGTAGCGTGCAGGAGGCAACTAATTGATGTGTCTCTCTCACATCGATATTTCTCTCCCTCTCTTTTCCACTCTCTCTGAAAAAGCAATGGAAAAAATATCAAATATCCTTGAGAGAAGATTAAAAAAAAAGAGGTCCACAGTTTAATTCTTCAGCCTCTGTTCTACTCCCAACCTACCTCTTTTTTGTTAACCTAAAAATAAAAAGCCAAAAATGAGCGGCAACAAGCGTTTATTTGGGATCAAAAGAATTGCAATTCTGAAAACACATTCAGGTAGAGACCTAAATGTCCTAATTAGAGGATAAGGGCAAGGGGTTTTTATGAGAAAAGGAAGGGAATAGTTATATGAATACCGAAAAAAATTTCTGTGGTGCCAGCAGAGTTAAATTTTTTTTTTTTTTTAATATATCTTTATTGATTTCAGAGAGAGGAAGGGAGAAGGGAGAGTTGAAACATCAATGATGAGAGAGTCGTCATTGATTGGCTGCCTCCTGAACACCCCCGACGGGGGATTGAGCCTGCAACCCAGGCATGTGCCCTGACCAGGAATCTAACAAACCTCGATCTCCTAGGTCGATGCATAACTGCTGAGCCACGCCTGGCCGGACCAAAGTTAATTTTTTAGCTATGCATGGCTGGTAACTGATTCTGTCTTCAGAAAGAGAGTCTACAATCACCAGTTTTTGTGTTCAGGATGTCTCCTTTTCTGTTGACTTTGCAAATGGTTGGTTATAAGACAGTGTTGGTTTTGCCCAGTCCAAAGCTTATTTTGCCCAGTTCAAACATTCCAAAGGTTCAAAAACCAAGACATGCAAAGCACTTCTCTGGAATGGCTGCTATGGCTCCATTTTTAAATGGCTTCACTTATGTCAGCCTCTCACATTTCACTCATTTTATAGTGAACTACTTGGAGTTTCACAAACACCCCATGCTTACTATGTTGGTCCTTCTGGACTGCTTTCCTTTCCTCAGTTGGTTAGCTTCCACTTAACCTTAAACCCTCCTCTTCCAAGGAGGAGTCTCTTTCTAAACCTTTTCTGATTTCTGCTCCTCCATTTGACTACTTCTTTGTTCTTTTGTAACTGTTACCAAGTTGTATGGAAAACATGGTTCATGGCCCACTAGCCAATAAACTCTTGGAGGGTCTCATTTCCTATCACATAGTAGCTCTCAGTAAATGTTTCCTAAACTATTAAACTCAACTGGTTTTCATTATGGGTCTGTTAGCATCTAATATGATTGACAGGGACAGAGGAAAACAAGCCTGCTGCTAATATAACTGGTGTTGACTAATACTAAATTTTTTTTCTCTTTAATATACCTTCATTGATTTCAGAGAGAGGGAAGGAGAGGGAGAGAGAGTTGAAACATCAATGATGAGAGAGTCATTGATGGCTGCCTCCTGCACTCCCCCGACTGGGGATCGAGCCTGCAACCCGGGCATGTTCCCTGACCAGGAATTGAACCCCCATTGCCTGGATCCTAGGTCAACACTCAACTGCTGAGCCATGCCCGGCCGGGCTGATATTAGATTTTGGTAGGTGTATCTGAAGCTTTGGGGAAAGACTGAATTGGGCCATTAAGAAAGTATCTGTGTATTGGGGCATGGGGGTGAAGGAATAGAAGAGATGAAATAGTGATGAATGATTAGAAATATTGTAAGAGAGCACAGATCTAGATTATCTAGGTTTGCATTTTAAATGGTACTTCAAAAAATCTTAGAACATTTATTTTTCCTGTAACAATAACTTAATTATATATAAAGTAGAAAACAGTAAGCCTATTACCAGTGCTCAAAAATTTAATTAAGACTGGATAATGAAGATCTGATAATTCACCTTTGAGAGGTTTCTGCTCCTGTGTTCCACAATGTGGAAAAGGTATAATCCAATTAGGAGTTGATTATATTATCTTTTTAAATAAAGAGGCTATTAGGTTAGCAAAAATAATTTAGATCAGTATTCCAGATGTCTTGTACAATGACAACTTTTTCAATAAATACTTTGTGTCTTTAGACACTTACAGAAATTAGTGTCTGTTTTACAGCTGTCATTCCATATTAAACTGCTGCAAGTGGTTTTCATGAGGTGATACTGCAGGCAATGTTATGATGGCAGTTGGATTGCTTACTCAGAATTTATTATCGCTCCCTGGTTTGCCTAGTCTTGAATAAATTTCTAAAAGCTAACACCTGTATCCTGAAAGCAAGCAGTGTTTTAATTAAGGAACAAACCATTTGATCATTCACATATTGTATAATATAATGAAAAATGCTCAAGTTTGGAAGAGTTAATTTGATGTGACCTTTATTTAATTTATGTTTACAGGGGACAATAACCATGGAAGAAAAATATAAATTTC